GGTATTTGTGTGAAATTCTTTAATTAGATATTTAAAGAATTATATTTGGTAAAATCCGTGTAATAAAATTAATAATTATATAAGATAGGTATAACAACGGGTGCCGTATACAATATTATGAAGTACCTACCTCAGTTATTCAGTTGTCGTCATCTGAACAAAAAGAAAATGAATTTCCGAAAAATTTATAGTGACGTGCATGATGTTTCATCGGCAATAATTTTTTTGTAAAACCAAAATATTATCCATAAGACTAGTACTTGTGACAGTGGACACGAAATGGTTTTGGATACACAAAGGGGTCGGTGGCGATGTCATTTAAGATCATGTCGAGCAGAAAAAGGTCTTTTATTATATTCATAATTTATTATTATTATTTTTATATTTTATTATATTAAATATTTATTCATATATGAATTATTCTGGACATAGCAGAGTTTTGGCCACCTGCATAATTTTTATTTTATTTATTATTACTATATTTTTTATATATTTTTATTTTGATCGCTTGAATTGTTCTGTAAAATCATAAATGTATTATTAATCGTACATTTTTATATAAATTATTGGTTATCGAAAATACAAAATGTAAGTGGCGGGCGTCAAGTTTTTTTTGTTTTTTCCGTTGCTTTTGAAAACTACTGAAAATATAAATGTTGATCTCCCCAATCCGCCAAATAGATTCACTTTCCCATCGAACACAGTGGCGTATTAACGGGGAGGGGGGGTCCATGGAGTCCGGACCACCCCCCATTGACTTGTGTCGAGCGTACATGTTAAATGTTGTGATTTTACATGATTAAGAAAAACAAATTTTATCATACGATATGTACGAAGGATTTTGTAAAAACTTTTCGAAGCTTCGCAGTTATCAAAATTTTCAATTACTTAACGCTTTGTGTATCACCATAGACACGAATAAAAAAAAAATATTTCAATATTAATTTAAACTTACAGGCCAGGCTATAATAAATAATAACAATATAGTACCTAACCTACGGTACAGCAGAGCGACATCCACTTACCAGCTTTTTTAAAATTTGTTTATACAATAATATACTATTATTTAATAATTAAAAACTCAAACATTTTAAATCGGCCGTCACGGCTCTGTTTTTGAAAATTATCTGGACGCTCCCCATGACAAATTCCTAAATACGCCACTGAATTCGAACTGCAGTTGAAAATTGAAGCATTATTATTTCCAATTTTCACTACTTACCAGTACACACACTAAAAATCACACATCATTGTAAAATCAATATATCGCTCCGCTTAGAATGTAAAATATATCTAAAATATGTATTTATACCCAAAATATTAATTTTAAAATTAAACGAAATGCCGGCAATCCACCATAACTTCATAAACGATTATCAGCTGTCTATTCATAAAATTAATACACTGCAAATTCATCTCATCGTCTCATCGGATTATTGACAATCTTCAAGTGCTTTTAGGAAAAACGTTCCGCTGGGGACAGTTAAAAATCATATTATACGACAGAAATACTAAAAACACATTTATGTTTTGTACAAGAATATGAACTAGGTAATAACTATAAATTAGTTGATACGGCGACCGCGTATAATATATCTACCAGAGGCGCCGACTTTTAGATATTAGCGCGGGGGCAAACTCTTCTATTAAGCGAAAAAAAATTCTATAGTATCAGTATGCTGTAGTTTGCTTACCGGGAGGAGTAATTACAAAATTGTCCCTTAACTTATATTATTAACTATTTTAATACTCCTCTAGGGTGCAAAATAAAATATTATGCATGTATATTATTTAAATTTTCTTTATTGCTTTTATTTTTTTTAAATTATTTACATGAAAAAGTCGAGCGATCTATAGTATTTATAGATCATATTTAAGTAATATACAAATATACAATCGTCGATGTTCTAATGAATATTTTCATGTTATAATTTGGTATTTTAACCAAATAATTATTATTGTACACAACGGGGCACGGGGGCGAAATAATACTTTTGCCCCCGTTAAATCAATGTACGGGGGGCGATCGCCCCCTTTGCCCCCGTGGAGTCGGCGCCTATATGTATTATATTACAAATGGCTTCATAGTTCATAGTGGTCTATAATAATTAATAGTGATATTGCATTATTTCTTATTACATCGCTATACTGAATATGCGGGTTGTTAGTAGTTACTTGTTACTTTTGAATTGCGTGTTGAGTGCGGACTTCCACCTACCTACCTAATTAAAAATATTTTTAGATTGAAATATTGAATTTGATTAGGTACCTATAATATATGTTTACTGTTAGAAACCGGTTTAACTATTACCTACAACTTTATTGATGTATTATCTTATTTATCGTCGATTGAGAAGATAATATAGGAATAACCTAGTAGTTAGTACCTACCTTTTGTTATTTTTCCCAGTATTAATAAATGCAGCAGTAAAATAAAAATAATTAGGTATCTACCAGTTTATTAATACAAATAAAATTATGTACCCATGTCCGATGACCGATATGGATACGGGAACATTCAACACGGGCTATGGCAATCGGAATCGGCCATCGGGCCACAGTGCCATACCACAGCCGGTGCCCTCGCCGCGCTGGTCACTTCGCAGTTTTATGCATTCTAATTTCTAGCATTCATCCAGGTAAATTTTGCCTGGTGTTAAAACTGCCAGTTTTTTTCTTATTACGTTTATCGATATTTGTGCTTTTAAAAGTTTACGTTCTAAGTACATTTAGAAAATATGAAACGTTATTTCCAACGAAGTAGAATGTTACAGAAGCACAGCACTTACAAATTATTTATTGAGGTACGTATAATTAATTTATAATTAAATAGGTAGATATTTAAGATTTCTGGCACGTTGTAATTAGTATGAGTAACATAATTAAAATTCAACATTCATCCAGTGGCGGTTCAGGAGACTTGGTTCGGGGGGGCTAAGTTATAATTTTCAGAAAACTTAACAACAATTTTTACAACACAAATCCAAGTCTTCTATTTTTTGAATTGGCAAATACATCTATAATATGATCTATTTGACCTAAAACGTTCACTTTATTATGTACATTAATTTTTTAACAATATAACATTTTTAGGAATACAGGCTTTGGGGGGGGGAGGACCCTAGGCATTCATCTGTATAAAATATATTAAAGGTGATGAGAAATATTTAATGTGCTATATTTAATATTAATTTATAAAAAGTAGGTACCTGCCTATATAATATAGAACGAATTTATATGCTTTTTTAGTCATCAAATATGCATGCCAATATGCACTAAAACAAGTCAAAATATGCAAGAAAAAATACAAAACATGCATAGTAAAATTTAAATTTTATTAACATTTTTATAAACAAAAAGTAAAATGTATAATACAGCACAGATATATAGTTGGTACACAAATGTAATTTAATTTTTAAACATTATTTAATAATAGATTGCAAACCAAGTAAATAACATTTTAGTAAGTAGATACTGACAACAAATTTAATTCTTTGAAACATATCAATATTTGATGCTAAAACATACATATTTTAAAACTTTCTTTTGTTCTAAACACTTGGTAAGTGGAAATTGTCAAGTGTATATTTATGATTTTTTGTAAGAATATGCAAAAATATGCAGTATAAAATTTTGATATTTAATCAATCAAGTAATGATTTATGGACACTCGTTGCCTGCATATATATATGATGTTGAATATAGCTACATGAATTTTATGCAAAATCCGGTCTTTAATTATAATATTTACTAATAAAGTTCTTATTAACATAACGTATATTAGGTAATCAAAATTAATTTTATTTTGTACTAAGAAAATGTTTAAATTGTTATTCTTCCATAGGTTGTTTAAAAGAGTTGATTTAGTTGAAAATGATACCTGAAAAACTTATTGTGGCCAAATAATATATTATTTGGAAATTGGCTTTGACACCACAATAGAATGTAATGGAAATGGAACCATCTTCCTTTAATAATATGCTGTTTATCGTTCACATAAAACTATACTATGGATAGTATTTCTATACTTCTGATTTAGTATCACGTATGTATATATAATATGACCTATATATACTGTATAATATATGTACATTCATTAGTATTTAGGATTCTGTGCATTAAAACAATATTATGTTTTTATATAAGATGTAAATATATGACAGATCGACAAACAAACTAGTTGTAAATATTTGACAAGTATCTATCTAGCAAGACATTTAAAGATAATATCTTAAACCAACTACCTATATGGCTACATTTGACAATTTACTACCTATTAGGTGTGTATTATTACAAGATTTTTTTCAGTAGTACCAACAATAATCAATTACCTAGCATAAGAACAGAAATGTAAAATTCAGTATTATTTTTAATGATTAATAGTAGTTAGATACCTACCTATATAAATAATATTATAACTTATAGTACATTATAATTACCATCATAGTTAATCATACATTCAGGTATCAATCATTAATATTAGGAAAAATATATACTCCTAATTGAACTGTACCCCATTAGAACATTGCAACATCATGTAGAGTAAGTTAGGTATATAATATATAATATATATATACATAGCATAATATAGTATAATAATATATGGTTTTATTTTTGGGAAGTAGATACCTGGTGATAAATTAAAATACCTACCCGTAAAACAGCATCGACTTTCATATTTTTTAATCATAACACAAACTTGAATAAAAAATTATACAAGTATATAAAGTAGCTGGTTTCTATTGTATCTTTATGTAAAAATTGCTTAAATTAACCACAGTTCACTAATAGAACTTTGATTTTCTCAAGGAATGAGTAATTGGATTTTTGTGTTGACCTTACACAAATAAATAATAATTAAAAACAATTTAATCAATTAAGGAACTTTTATAATTGCTGTTTCTCTGGAAAATAAACATTTTTTTTTAGGTCTATGTATTAGTAAGATTATCACGATTTAAAATTAATACTACATTTGAACTTTTTGGTATATATTTCTGTTACCAAATGCGTATACCAATGCTATACTCATTGTTACACACTCGGCATTTTTGTGTTTGCAGCTGTGACAAACAATCAACGCAAAGAACCCTATGCCCACAAGGAACAAGTGCATGTGTCCTGGGGGCCACTCTGCACACCACACAAATATTATCTTCATCTTGTCCTTGTGGGTAAAGTTCCAAAAGATTTTGTGGTACTGGTACAAACGGAACTTCTATCTCATCTTCAACCATAAAATTTTGCCAAAAAGCCATTTCGGCATCCTCAGGTATTACAAAATCTGCTTCGTTTTCATCTAGAAATGTATAATAATATAGAACGTTGGATTTTAATTCAAGAACAAATTGTTAAAGTACCTAGGTATGTAATAAATTAATTATAATTTTATGATAATATAATACTATTATAATATCATAAGACAATGGTACCTATGATATAATTGGATAAAAAATAACTTTTATTCCATAGGTATTACCTTCTACAATGTGGACATCTGGTTCTTCAACAACATGGGGTAGTTCCACTATAGCATCTCCAGGATCCTCTGGTATAACAAAATCTGCTCCGTTTTCATCTAGAAATAATACAGTATAATAATATAGAACATGGGATTTAAATTCAAGAATAAATTGTTAAGGTACCTAGGTATGTAATAAATTAGTATCATTTTAATCATTTTATGATATTATGTTTACCTACTATTATAATATCAAAAGACAATGGTACCTATGAGATAATTGGATAAAAAATAACTTTTATTCCATAGGTATTACCTTCTACAATGTTGACATCTGGTTCTGCAAGAACTTGTGGTAGTTCCACCATAGCATCTCCAGCATCAGGAATCTCGACTATTTCTTGAATACCGACTGGTATATAAACCTCAGCAGCTTGAATATCACCTACGGGAGGGAGATTGACCTCAGCAGCTGGTAATGGAACATCAGGAATATTCACTAGTTCCTGCTCTTCATCAGAACCTAGCATTATTATAATGATTTATTCATTAATTTGTATAAAAATTAATAAATTGTTATTGATAAGAAGAGTAGTAAGTACTTATATGATATTAATAAACTATGCAAAATAATAGGTGTTATGTAATAAGAGTTATAACTTATAAGTAAAACATTTTCCCTTCATGTAAAAAAACAAAAACATCAGCTATACAAGGTGAATTGGTATACTGTTGTTCAGTTTTTGTTGTTATTTTTCATCATTAATGTTTAAAATTGCTACCCTAAGATTTATTAAATGGTCTTATATACATACTTAGAGTTTCATCTCTCCAGTCTAGCTCTCTTGCGATGTAGTTGTCTGTACTGTGAGAGCACTGTATTAAAAATTCTCTAACTGTAATTGCACCAGTGGCCAATTGTGCAGTGGAATTTTTAATTCTCACAGAATTTATTAAGTATTTTGTTTTGATGCCTCTTGTTGTCTGTAACCCTCTAGCCAATTGACTTACAACAATATGTTGTTTCAGCATTATATTGTTTAGGTGTTCTAGGACCAACAAGTTATTTTCAACTAATTTATAAGATAACATCTTTAAATAAAAACTTTAGCCATAGGGGCCGTAGGTATTTAATATTCGTGAAATTATTTAATTTTTAAATTTATAATACATGTATGTATTAACTTTAATGGATACCTTGTTTTATGATAGTTTATATTTAATAGATTCAAAAATGTCTATGAAAGAAGAATTAAAATGTTCAAATAATAATTTTTAAATTTATAATAGGTAGTATAATAAATGAATATGCAATTCATGAAGTAAATTTATTGGCATCACATTACATTAGGTAACTATTTTTGAATGTTTAGAACTTTAAAATATAAATGAAAACATTTAGAAGATTAAATACAATTTTAATAAATACTTTAATTTTTTTAAATAATGAAAAGAAAACAGTTTTTTTTATATTTGGTTAGATATTCGGAAACGCTAGTTTTCATTAATTCAGAATAGTTTTGAAAATAATATGAAATTGTTTACCTTGTTAACAAAAATAATTTTTAATGACTCACCTAGCATTTTCCATAAATTAGGATGCATCACTTGAAACGTTTGTTTCAAGGATGAATGGAAGCTCTCGATATTATTGTTTGTTCGGCGGGGTTGACCATATACCGAAAAACATTCTGGCCCCTTTCTTATGATCCAAAAGCTGTTTGAATTTCAATATATTAGAACAATATATTATTTTCTAATTATTTTTATATTTTACCTTGAAAAGTACGTAAAGAATCTTGGTAACTGAACTACATTTGCTTGTGCATAATTTTTTATTTCCTGATACCCTCTTTCTATTTCATAATGCGGTAATAGTGCTAAAGCTGCCGTCATTTTTATGCACATTTTTGCATGCATGTTGTTTTTCACATAACTTGTGTAGCCCAATTTTTTTATTTTTCTCTATTATATATACTTAGCTCTAAAATGTTTTGTACAATTCTTAATTATCATAATAATATGTGAATTGAAATGAAAAAAATCGCATGAAAAAAGTAAAAGCATTATTTTTTTTAGTTTGGTTCAAAAAAGATTTTCTTATTTATTTTTCTTAGGAATTTCTTTAATATATTTCTTAGTTAAATTGCAATCTAGGGTTATTATATTTTGTTGTTTTAAGATATTCATGAAGTTCTGTCTAAAAGGTAACTTTAATTATTGAACATAATAGTATTGATGAAATAAAACAACCTAAGTATCGTATACGTATTCATAAAAGTTAGGTTTAACTTAGGTGTCAAACTTTTATAGATCTTGAATTAATTAACTTAGTTAGATCCATCCTAGAATATGGATCTCCTATTTGGAGTCCCTATACTAAATCCAACATTGAGATTATTCAAGGGGTTCAGAAGAGATTTTTAAGGTTTGCAGCATATAAATTCAACTTAACTATTAACCAACATACAATCACTTCTAAACTTTCCCTTTCTAGCCTCCGGGCGAGATTTAGCTGACATTTATTATTTATATAAACTAATCAATAATCATATTGATGTCCCTTACCTATTAGAACCTTTTCCATTCAACATCCCAGCATATAATAATTGAACCACTCCCACATTCTACATACCATCACACAGCACAAATTACTTAAAAATTCCTATTCTTAGAACCATGACTTTGTGTAATAAACGTGTGCACCTAATATTGATTGTTTCTCTACTCCGTTAGTAGTCTTAATAAAATTCTTAAAATTTACTTAACTAACAATATGTATTATTTTACTTTTACAATCGTTTCAGTTTATATTCAGCCTATTATTATTAAGAATTTATGTTATTGAATGATTTCTGTATCAATTTATTGTAATAACTTATTTATTTTATTGTACTGTTGGGAAATTTGCCCGTTTTATTCATTGAATAAACAATTATTATTATTATTATTAGTATTTTTAAACATATTATGGTAGATAGTTTGTAACAAATTAAAAATATGAATCAATCAATTTTGTTCTAAAATAATCGTTGAGTTAAGTTCATAAGAAACTTGTTTTTATTTGAAGTATTTAATGTTAATATTTTAATTTTTAATTAAAGAACTTCAACACTGATAATGTACCTGATAAATCTAATATAAATAAATTCAATACCAAAACTATATTAAATTTAAATTTCTCAAACCTGGACAAAATGGAACCAACACGACAATATTGTTGCTTCAGGATAAGTTTGTTGAAAGGCGTTATGAAGGCCGGTTTCGAAATCAATCATTATTGATGTGGGCCTTACATTTGGGAATTTGGTTTTAAATTGCCCAAGCACTTTTTTGTATGCAACCTCGGTTTTAGTTTCCATCAATACGAAACAAATGGGGATGGACTAAAGTAAAATATGACGATGATAAACATAATTAGTAGGTATATCAATATAAAATAAAGAATAACAACTGATATTTCTCACATGATTTTGCAGAATCAAGTGAATAATAAAAAGCTGTCTACACGTTGGCACAGATGGCACTACTTTAAAGGTTCCATCTGCATGTAATTCGGTCGCTCCTTGGTTGACAACTGCATCTATTATGTCTTGACAAGCGAACATGACACTAAAATTGCCATTACCATCTACAATCCATTCTTGGTAGAATGGTTGATTGTTACACTGATATCTATTGACCATTTTAACCAAACAGAATAGTAAGCATCAATTTAATTTAATTTAAATATTAAAACCTAACCTGTTAATATTTAGGTCTAAATATTCGCCCAATTCTCGTAATGTCGATGGCAAAGGTGGAACCGCTTGTTTACGAGCTTTGCGCATCAAAGATTCGGCTGTTGGCCAAGAGTACAGCATAGCTGCTTGTGGATTTCTATACTCCGGCCCACGAGAGAGTATTACCGTTTTGCGCATGCAGACTGACGGTGGAGACCGTTCCCAAATACTATAAATGATAATACGAGAAAGTCAATGGTAATCAGCAGTGACATACGGAGCCCTCAGTTGTACTGTTTTTGCCTATATCCAAGGCGTAATTCATATAATAAGTACCGCCAAAATGTTAAGTGGCTGATGTACCTAAACAAAAATGACTATTTTTAAGATCAATATTTGTTTTGTAGGTATAATATAAAAACTAATGAAAAATAAAAATGTGTTCTAAAAAGTCATGTTCGACAAAATATTGTTACAATACAGGGAAATTAAATCCAAATTTAGCTTTTCATAGATTTCCATCGAATGAAGAATTGTAAGTTTCTTAAAATAATTATGTACAGAACCATATTATGCTTCTAAATAAAAATAAATAATAATTGTAGATTAAATAGTTTGATATTATTTTTGGTAATATATTTTTAAATTGCATTCTAAGATTTCTGTATAAATTAATATATTAGGTGTAAAAAATGGGTCGAGTGGTGTGGAAGCTCAGAAATTATGGATGTTTTCAAATCTAAAGGTTCTAGATTTTTAAACAAGAACCGTGTTATTTGTTCTGATCATTTTAAATCATCTGATTATATTATATGGAAAGGTGTAGGAAATAAAACGTGAGTTATTCAACTTTTACATAGGTAATATAGTCATTAGTTTTGCTACCTATATATTAAGTCATCTAAGTAAAATGTAAATATCATCCTATTTCCTAATTATTTCAAATTACATACCTATATTTACAGATTATTGTTCAAAGATTCTATTCCGTCTGTATTAACGGCATTACCTAAAGTTTTAAGTCCTCATGTAATACAATGCATAACTAATTCCCAATCCCAAGGTTAGTTCAATTTTTTTTTTTTTTATAATTTTTTTTTTTTTTTGATTACACTATTTAAATTTTCACATTTTTTAAAAATTAATATGTAGGTACATCTAAAATACAAGAGAAATCAAATAAATTATGCAATCGTAGACTTTTTACTGAGCCAGAGCCTGAGTTGGAATCTCCAAATATTATAACTGTTAAGCCACTACCAACAGCTTCAGAAAATAATATTAAGAAACGTAAGTGTGTTTTGTCTTTTAATGAACTATATAATTTTACAGCTGTACTTTATTATACTTTTATTGCATGTGTGTATATGTTTTGTTTTTGTTATTAATTTAAATTGGGACGGACAACGGATAATGGATTATGTTGAGTGTTGTAAGTAACTTTTAGATTTGTTATATACCTGTTTTTAATTAGTTAATTAATGAAATATACCTAATATTTATTATTAATCAATATACTGCATTTTAATATAATATTATTTACTGCATGTATGTGTTTGTTTTGTTATTATGACTTATTGTAATTAGAATTGACAACAGATAATGGATTATGTTGAATGTTGTAAGTAACTTTTAGATTTTTAATTTATTATTAATTAGATAGTTAACTAATAATAAAATATAAAATATGATATTAATTATTATACTGCATTAATAATCAAAGATGTTCCTATCAAACTTGATGAGACTATCAAACTATCTTTGAACTATCTCTTGATCAAACTATCTTTAGTGTATGCACCGTGTATGGAGTAGATAGTTATTAACCACTGTTAATAATACTAAATACATTAATAGTACCTATTAATTAATTAGGTATTATAAAAATCTTATATTCTGTAGGTTACAAATTACCTGTACATCATATGCATGATCAACAATTATGCTCAGAAACACAAAAATCTTTGAAATTAAAAATAATAGCTTACCAAAAATTAGTGTCCAAACAAAAATTTAGAATAGCCATGCTTAAAAAGAAAAATCTAAATTTTTTAAAAAAAAAAGACCAGCTTTTCCAAAATACCATAAAGAATAATTTTATTTTACAAACACAACTAAGACTTAGTCAAGTGAAAAAGAAAGGTTTAAGGTACAAGGAAAATGAAAAATTATTTGCTCTTAGCTTATATTATAGTTCACCAAAATCATATAAATTCATGCAGAAATGGTTATGTCTTCCAACTGTAAGATCATTAAGGAACTGGCTTCAATTATTAGATGTTTCGTGCGGATTAAACTCAAATATTCTTGAAATACTTAAAACTAAATTTATGTCTGTTGAAGCTAAGGACAAACTAGTGTCAATAATCATTGATGAAATGTCAATCAAAAAATTAGTTTCATACAATTCAAAAAATGATTTATTTAGTGGCTTTGAAGATTTTGAAGATAATTCAATAATTAATTTAAAGAGTATTAAGTACTGTGACCAAGCCTTAGTCGTAATGATAAAAGGTCTCACTACTCCTTGGAAACAAGTTATTGGGTACTTTTTTTCAAGTGGACCAGTCAAAGGATATAGACTTAAACAAATTGTTGCACATACAATAACAAAATTAAAAGAAATAGGACTCATACCAAAAGTGGTAATTTGTGACCAAGGAACGAACAACTTATGCATGCGTAATTTGTTTGGAGTCACTTATACAATGCCTTACATTCATTTTGAAGGTGAAAAAATTTATTTTTTCCATGATAGCCCACACCTTATAAAATCTGTAAGAAATAACTTTAAAAAGTATGATTTTTCAATTGATGAAGAAGTTTATTCCTGGCAAGATTTGGTTACTTTTTATAATTTAGATAAAAATAAAACCTTGAGATTAGCACCAAAATTAAAAAGCATTCACATGGAACTACCACCATTTTCCCCAATGCGGGTATGTTTGGCTACCCAAACATTAAGTCACACGGTTAGCTCTGGTATATTAACACTAGTGGCACTAAACAAAATGAGAAGTAAAGCAACATACACTGCTAAATGTATTGCATTTTTTGATAGCCTTTTCGACATTTTTAATAGTATAACATACAACGAACCGAAACTTTTGAGGAGGCCATTGACCAAAGATTCCTGTCACTGGGAATTTTTAAAAAATGCTGATAAGTTTTTAAATAATTTGAAAATACATAATAAGTCAGGAAAGCAGCCTCCGTGTATTAAAGGATGGAGAGAAAATATAAATGCACTGAAGTTCCTGTATGAAGAATTAAACACAGAATATTCTATAGAATTTTTACTAACCAGAAGGTTAACTCAAGATTGTATTGAAAATGTATTTTCAATAATTAGAGCAAAAGGTGGTAATAATACTACTCCAGATGCTACTAAATTTCAGTCTGCAATAAGAATGTTGATGTGTAATAATTTACTTACACCATCAGAAGAAGGGAATTGTGAAATGGATGCCTGCAAATTTTTAACTAAGCTCAATGAATTAAAAACAATTAGTCTACAAGTAAATTCACTTAACACATGGGATAATACAATTGAAAATGATGAAGATATGTGTAACAATATACTAGATGTTCATTTGTCATCAACAAATATCAACAGTATCCTCATGGATCTGCATAATACATCTGCAGTAGCTTATGTCACAGGATGGGCATGCAGTAAACTTGAACATCCTGAATGCATCAAACAATTGGCAGCAAAAAACAAAAGTAACACTGCTGTATTCAACCCATGTACTACTTTCATTGAAATGAAAGAATATGAAAATAGTGATTTGCTGTATCCATTTGATTCAACGATTGATTTTTGTAAAAGAATGACTTGTTTATTTAAAGAAAATATTCAAAAAATGCTATTGGAATCAAAAACGAATGTAAGAAGTAAAATGATTAATTTGATTCAAACCGTATGTATCAGGACAATAAATATATGTAGTATATGTAAACTTAAATTCATCAAAAAATTTATAAATGTTTTAATTAATAGTTATATAAAAAACTGTAATAATAATATGGCCCACTATAAAATTAAAACAGCAAACAAAAAGTTGAAAAAAATTACACATTCATAAGAATAAATATTGATTTTATATTATTAGTATAATACGTCTTATTCGCTATTATGCATTTATATATTTTATTGTTACATATTATGTAAATTGTAAATATATAATAAAGTTGGAAAGTGCATTAAATTATTTTTATATTATATAATAGTATTATTTTACTATTATTTACAAGGTTTGTTAAAGTTTTAAATATTATCAAATACTATAAATCATTTATAGTATTTCATATTTTGTTATTCCTATTAAAAATAAGTTATGTTAAAATAATTTTATATTAGATATTTTTAAGACTGTTTAAAAATGATATTATATTATATATAATTTATAGTACCCGTCTATCAATGAACAAAAATAATAATAATAATAAGGGGCAAAGGTAGGCCACCAATAGTGAAATTGAGGGCATTAGTTTTCGCCACATTATCATTGACTTTCTCGTATTATCATTTATAGTATTTGCCGTTCCGAGGCCCCTTTTCCCCCTCTATTTCCGCGACCGCTATACACCGTATAGCGTTGAGCGCTGCCGACCGGTACCGAACAGTTGTCGGCACATGCCGAGTAGTGGGGAATGCGCGGAATCGGACGAGTTTTCGTCGGGCGACGGTAATACTCTCTCGTGGGCCGGAGTATATAAAGTTTAATCGTTATGTTTGATTTGAGACTATTATTTACTAATATCAATAAAAAATCTGTTCTATGGAATAATCGAGTTAAAAGTTTTATAAGGTAAGTACAAGTTTAAATTTATATTGCTTAAAATTATTTAGAATTTTACCTGATGGCTTCCTCGTCATAAATTACTCTTAACGGATTTGTTTCCGATTTAGCCCGGTCCAACAAAATGCCTCTAAATGTTTTCTTCATTTGATTCACATTAAAATTACTATCATAAGGATCATGTGAATGGCCTTTTTTGACTACAAATGTACCATTTGCTAATTTAATTGCTGTGCCACTACAATAGGTATTTGGAGTAGCACATGCATAATAACTGAAAATTATTATAATTATTAATAATTTCATATAACTATGCCATTTTCTTATATCTTACCA